TACAAGTAGATGAGAAAACCATAATTAAAGATGCTAAGAACAATCAATCAGTTATGTTTAAAAGAAGCAGTGTTCCAGTTCCATGAATAGTAGATAAAACTAACAGAATAACAACAAAAAGGGTGGAACTAATTGACTCCTATTTTCACTCAGTATCTTCTTCAGTCAATTAAGAGAAGAGCTGTTTGGAGGAACAGATTTCCAGTTCTAGCTTGATAAAAATATAAGGAATTGCCTACTGAATTTGAATGAATTCAACTGGAATACAAAGCACTTTGCAAATGGTCTGGTCAACATAACTTGTGTATTATATGATTATACATTCTCTTTGAGAAATCCTGCAGAACTAGTTTAGCAAACGTGGCTACAGAAGGGTAGTTATCTCTATCTTGAAAAACTGAAGAAAGAAGAAGCTAGCGAGCTACAGACCAGGCAAAATCCTACGGCAGATTACACAGTCGCATTAGTAGATTCTAACTGAATGGTAATCAAAATTTAATACCGGTTTAAACTAGAGAGGAAAAATTTGTGAGTTTTCCTTTGACTGTGTTTCAATTTATATTGACTTTCCTGCAATGAGCGGGACTATAACTTAAATGACTCCAACTCAATGAATCTGTGAAATGGCTTCAAAGAATAACTGGAAACTTTAGCTGAGTTATAAAATGCAAAGCCATAATGTCTGATTTTGATTCTGTGTGGTACATGAGCCTAGACACTGTAGTTTGTAAGGCATGATTTATGTCTTAGCAGATTCTGTGAATCAAGCTTTTATAGTTAATACAACAAACCAGGGTAAAAAACAACAACTATAATTTAAAGTAATGTGTAAACAAGCCTGTATGGAAATTTCAACGTCTTGCTAACTCTTTGTTATCAGCAAATGGTTATTGGAATGTTTTCTAGGAATTATTCAGTAATCAGGATCATTCCCACTTCTCATAAATGCTAACCTTTAATTCCTTTTGCAGTGACTGAAAGGCTTCACTCATGTGGGAATTCCTCAGTGTATGCCGAGTTTGACCGTCAGGAGGAATCAGTTTCTTTCAGAAATAGAACAATCACCCCACAGCTTCATGTATTTGACTCATTGACTGTTTCACCTCAAGAGGATGTGCGAATCTCCATCTCTCATTCTATGGACACAGCTTGGAGCACCACAGTTCTGAAGGATAATTGCAACTTGAAAACTTATTTTCAAGAAACATCTCAGCCACAAGCGGACTTCCACTTCAAAAGCAGGCACTCGGTAGCCTCACAGGCATCTGTATTAATTATGGATTTTCCAGACAGAATACATCAAGGCAGCACCGAGGAACAGGAAGCTACTGGGGAACTAGATGATTCCAAGTATCTCACTTGCTCATCCTCATCCTCTTCTGACTCTGAGCCAGAAGGTTTCTTCTTTGGGAAGCCAATTCCAAAGCCTGGTTCCAGATGTGTAGCTTTTGCCAACATGGAGCAGGAAACACTTGGGAAAGGAATAGGGTGGACTGCCAGAGCAAGAGCCAACAGCAAACACTGTAGTATATCCTAGCAGACAGGCAATGATTAGCAAAAGGGGGAAAGCAAAGGGGGAAGAGACAATAATGAAAGCAGATCATCTTCTGGAATGACTAGATTAAAATTAGTATCAGAAGTTGCTTAAAGATGCATGCGTGCATGCATAAATATTTCATTATTTTCCTGCTGCAAGGCTGATAACTCTAAATCCAAAAAGCAGATTAAAAAGTCACCATTTGTTTTATAATTTTGGATGCTCATTATTTCTAATGAGTCAGCACATTTTTATTAAAATCAAATAAAGATAGCTTCCATCTTAGCTATAAGAAAATCTCCAAAACCACTTTTATTTGGATCCTTCAAGAGTTTAAAATTAATTCTTAAATTTTCTTCATCACATTAGATGCTGAAGAAAAACAAATACTATCTGCTTCTCAGACTATATGTGTTTAGTTTTGATGATATATGTGTTTAGTTTTGATGATATATGTGTTTAGTTTTGATGATATTTTGAAGATATAAAGCTACGGTATTCAACTTTGGCTCTGCCAAGTACTGGGAGTATTTCAGGTTGACACGATAATTACTCCATGTTTGCTCCGAAGAAAATAACCATTTAATGCTCTTTTACCTGTCACGGAAACAGATTTGATCTTATACTTGTTTTCTGTACTTAAGATACTTTTCCAAAACATTCTGCTACAGGATTTATTTTCATGTTGACTCAGATTTCCTATCTCAGCATCGCATACAGCCTCATTTGAATGTCTGCAGCTGACTCCCACATCCCATCAAGACTGTAATTAAATACACACGTGGTTGGAACATTAAGTCACTGTAACAAACTGAGGCTTCCTGTAGCAGCAGTTCTGATTGGATGTTGCTTACTATGTTATGACACATATTTGTATGTTCTGGAAGTTAAAACCATGAAATAAAATACAATTTCTCAAATGAGACTTGAGGTTAATGTCATTCAGTGAAATTAGTGGGTCAGGAATTGAAGCAACCGTCTCTAGAGATGTTAATGTCTTCAAATCAATGACAGGCTAAGAGCGAGTTCAAAAAAAATGTGGATGAAATAAGTGGTTTGGAGATATGATTCACTTTTGGTGGAGCATACAGCGTTCAACTATAGACAGGAAAGATAGAAAAATAACATCAGATGTGGCATTGAGGCCTCTTGTCAGACCATGGAAGGAGAAATGTATCAAGGGTGATTGTTACAACAACCATGAAGGCACAATGTTTACATTCATACACACCACATACACATTTATTCTACTAAAAGGGAGGACCTTTTGTATAGTAACACTTTGCTTGGGGAAGATTAATATGAGAAGATGATTTCTTAACTGAAAAAGAAGAGGCAGAAATTAGGAAAATAATCACCTTTCCTTTGGAAGTCTAGGCTAAGGTGTATCCCTAATGCATTGGAAGCTGGTGCAGCTTCTTGGAATTTAAAAAAAAAAGCAAGAAGGGTTTTCATCTGAGCCAATTGTTGATAGCCATTTTTATACTTCTCTTGTGGAATTAAATCGATTAAATCAAAACCAAATTCTCATTTCAGGATTTGAGAAGTGGTCAGGAATCAAAAAAGGAGGAATGTTGTTTTGCTTCAATTTTGCCAGGCTGAAGGAAGCCAAAAGGATGGTGATTTTGTAGCATAATGATCAATATTTTCATTCATTATTTTAAGAAAATGCTTTCTTGATGTGAAGGCTTGATAAATTTGCATACAAATCGAGATAAATTCAATTTTTTTTATGTCACATTCAGTATGAGAAAATTAACTTCTGTATAAATACTATACATAACCTATCTGATGAATCTCTATAGCTATTTATAAACCTTCTCCCCTTGGACAGGATCTGCAATAATCAGAGATGGAAAGCATTAACAGAGTTATTATGGTAATGTTTCTGGAAGCCCATATACCAAATCGTGGAGCATCTTTGTTGGGTTTTAATAACATTTTTCCAGTGCTTTTGCCAAATTAGAAATTATCCTTTGATTGTGGACTATCTTTTCCCAACATGTATGGTTAGTATCTCCTTGACAAATCCTTTGTCGTTGAGATATAAACGCCATGAAATAATATTCTATATAGGCCAAAGCTCTCATCATCTCTCCTATAGTCATTTGCATAGTCAATTATTTCAACAGTGAGTTAGAAGGCAAATCAAGAGTGCAGTCAACTGTTCCACTAAAAAAGGATCAGAAACGGATTCTTCTTGAGCTAAATTATGGTCAGTATATGATCAGTTTTTAATACTGCTTCAAACTTGCTGTAAGACAAGAGGAAAATTTAAGGGAAGGTGGAGAACAATTGCAGAACAGCAGGAAGTGAGGTCTGCTCTTCCTAGTGGTGCCATTATTGGATATTGCCTGCCCATCAAGGAAGTGTTAAATTGAACACAGACCAAACCAATGTCAAGTCTAGGTTTTTTGTTGCAACCAATGGATTTACAGCCATCTCCATCAAAATGCAAATATGACCCAGCTGCACTTGATTGTGCAAGATGGCGTTTGTTGATTTGAAAAGCAGACCCTGCTTCTATGGGAATAACAGTAGGAAGATGATAAGATAGGTTAGATAGCAATTATTACTTACTTTGGGTCTTGCTAAGAAGCTGAATATGGATTCGATGCTATTCCATTTTGGGGAGTTGTCCTTTTGTCTCACCTATCATCTATACATTTGTTTTTGCTATCTTTCCTTGTGTGAAGGGTCCCTTAGCCGATGTGTCGAAATCAGGGCAGGGAGCTATGGTAGGCCATTCAATTTTCTTCCAAAAATGAGATAGACATTTTTAGCTCTAAGCCGTGTTGCCAGCCCAACGTATCTTGCAGATGCAAGATTGCAGAAGGTCATTTGTAGTTGTACCACGTGAAATAAAAGAAGGAACAACATACTTTCTGTATTTTAATGCAGAGAATGAGAAACATAATGTAAATAATAGCCCCTTTCTTTGGTCCACATAAAATTTTAAAACCCTGTGGTGGATCTTTATTAACTGTCCAAAGTTCCACATAGAGATATATTGAAAAGATGCTAAAGAAAAATCGACCGAAAGCCTACCTTCATTATCTTATTTGAATACTTAACTTGCTAACCTCAACCAGAAGTTTAAAAAATATGTCTGAATAGGGACAACACCTTGAAGGCAAACTCACCAATAAAGGCAGCTCTATAAGTTGTTTCAAAATGATATTATTCTTTTTAAAAAAATATTACTTCGTAGATTTAAAAGGAACAAATACTATTTTCATCAGGGCTGCTCTTGAGTATTACTGGACCACACAGAACAGAGACCTTCTCCAGCTTGCTTCTGCACAAAGTCCAACATTCAAAACTGCTCAACAATATTTTTAATAATCTAAATTAAGAACTTCTTCCCCCTTACCAAGAACATGCGATGCTTCCATGTAACTCAAAGTATAAATCTTAGTAGATTCCTTTCATTGTGTAGATTAGTAGATTCCTTTCATATTTCCAGTTACCACCTGACCTGAGTTACCAAAGCCATTCAGAATTCGTTAGGCATCACACTCCTCTGTTTATCCTTTGTGCCTCCCTCCTCCCAATTTTCTCTTCCAAAGTCCCTGGATTGATATTACAATAATACTTTCAAATCTTCTAGCTGTCACTTATGCGCCCTGCGGGAGAAAGGGGTTTCTCAGCTCTACGGCCAAAAGGAGGCTTTCTCCAAGGCCATCATTTATCCCGGGCCTGAAGAACAGAAAGCTTCCTCCCATTAACTGTCTTAGAAAAGGCTTCAGGTACAGTAGGTAGATTTGCCAGTGTGATGTCTTCTCAATTGGCTTCAGTTAAGCTGTCAATGTAGTTCTTTAGCAGGCATTCATAGTAGTCACCAATCTTTCTCAGGTTAGCTCGTAGTGCTGAGCTCATTGCTTCTATCATGCAGGGTTCCTTTTCCACCAGCATGATGGCTATTACTCCAAAGTTGAGAAGGACCTGCAGGTAGGCCTAAAGGGAAAGACCAAGTTCCATCAGGCCAATGAACAAGCAATGTATTTTTAAGACCATACTACTGAATACTCCAACTATAATTATTGGGGCTGTGGCCATGATCAGAAGAGCATAAAGCGGGGGGGGGGGGATACCCAATAATATATGAACATAAATATGTATCTTTTTTAAACAAATCAAAGTAGAGAATGTACAAAACATCCATATGTGTAATTTTTGTCCTTGTTTTTTCCTGGAATAAACTGGCTATGGCATGCATGTGGATAGTAGCAGTATTATTTCAAATGATTACAATACACATGAGTGCTGAACCACAATGAATTCAGTAATGCTTCCCTTGTGTCACAGCCCTATCCACATTTGGAACATCACTGAGCTCAACTATGTATGTAACACTGAGAATGTATGCTGATTGGGCAGAGAAGATACATTCTTTGAAACAAAGACTCAACTAGGTACTGAAAAGCAAAGTTTTTCCTTTAAAGTAGGGGTGAGGGGCAAAGCTGGGCCTTCTGAAAATCTCTTCTAGCAGCCACAGTTCATGGCCAATTGTGGAATTTTGATGGTTATTGTTCAGCTACTTCTAGATAAGGCAGGTGTATCGAGTAAGAAAGATGACCTTGAGTGAAACATGCAATATTACTTGCATGATTTTCATCAGGGTCATCTTCCTCATACTCATGATAAACAAACCACGAATTCTCAAATTCTAATTTATAAATTAAGATTTGGGGTTCATAACGTGTGCTTATGTTCCCTGATTCTGTAGTTCTTGATTATAGTGTCAGCTACAAATGGCTTGAAAATAAATAAACGAATGCAAAGAAGCCCAATCCTTAAGCAGGCAGATGAAATGTACAAACTAAGTCCTCTGACTCTAAAACTAGTTTTCTGAGGTGGTCTTCTTTCTTTCCTCTCTCCCATTTCTTTTTGTTATCTTCATCAGTCATGTTTGGGAGCCAGTGGGAAAGAAGCTCAGCTTCTCCTTACCTGTTCAAGCTCTTCTTTTCTTGCCAGCACTGCTGCAGATCGGTCCTTAGGAGTCCAGGATGGGACTGAAGTTTCTTCTTCAGCATTAAGGTGGCAAGGAGAGCTTGTCCTCTTCTTTTTGGTTGATGACTGTATCAATAAATTTCACAAGGAGATAGGTATTTAACAAGGCTAACAACAGCCTCCCCAATTTAAAGAAACTCCTGCTGCAAAGCACTGCGTAAAAATAGACTGTATAAAATATTCACATTTTGAATACTTAGGAAAAAGGAGGTCTATAATAAGGAGGTCTATAATAATATGAGGGTTCCTTCAGACCAACAATCAAACAAACAAAACGCCAATCAAAAAACTGCCAAACAGCCATCAGTAAACAGCCTAACCACAAAGAATCCCTAAAACCACCCCACCCACACAGACAGGCAAGACACCAGAGTATAAATTGACGGCAAACAGCACTCCTTACTAGCTCTGATGATACTACCTAGTTAGGGTAATGAAACATCTGCAAGAAAACAAGATCAGGGAGTACTAAGGACCCCTCATTTCAACTCTGACCTACAAATATTCTCCTTTATTGATATAATAATTTTGCTGCAAACTAGACCTAACTTTCCAGTACAGGTAGTCCTCAAATTATGACTGTAATGAAGCCTGCCCATTAGGGTTGAAAGGCATGTGAGACTCCAAAGTTTCAGCTAAAAAAACTGACAGGGTATATTGTGAACAATTCCAGGATTTATTGACTTTTGCACAAAAGACGGCACTTAATCCCCTTCTGGGTAGAGGCACCAAGGAAATTAAACAGACAATTTTACATATTTTTATACACACAAAGACCCACCACCTCTCACCTTCTCTGCTGCCCCATTGGCTAAAATTGTTGAAATTAATATTGGATGATTCTAGGATGATTTTTAAAATTATGCCTGGGTTCACAATCTAGCCATAGTGACATGCTTAACAATTAATAATTTAGTTACTATTAGTTCAGCAGTTGCTACATCCTGCTCTGTTTACACTAACTGGATTCTCTTCTGGGTCAGCATGACAACTATCCTCAAATAGACTACTGCTTAAACTTCTGTTGAATGGATTTTATGTCATCAGCACAACTGTCTGTGTTAATATTTCACTGGGTTTTTTAAGGTTATACAGAAGAGAAACATATAGAAAAGAAATATGTTGATACTTTTACATTTTTCTTTTACAGGAATAATTATTTCTTCTTTTTTACTTCTCACAGGCAGGACAAACATTGAATGAACTGCCTCAAGTAATGACCAGCCATCTCCGCTCTTTCCAATGCATTTGTTAAATGAACAGACAGTTCTTTAAGTGCAGCACGGGGTGCCTGGGGGTGGGGTCGGGGTGGAGATATCCTTGAAGGCCTAGTGCAGGCTCAAACCCACTTGCCTCAGGTCTCCCAAGGCTTCCCCCCATCTCAAGATACCCCATGTTCTGCTTTCCATCTCTCAAGTAGCTGTCACACATGCCCACCGAACAACTGTTTTGCCAGCAAGAAACAATGGGGAAGGAAAACACTGGGCTCCCCTGCCTTTCTTGACTCTGCCACAGCCCTTTGTCCTGCCAAGTTGCCCCTGCCTTTCTGGTGCAAAAAAAACCAAAAAACAGTTCCCTAACCTTTGAGAGCTTGCTGCGGGCTGGAAAAACAAAGCTCAAATCTTTCTGAGCTTCATTTCTCCAGCCCAGCACAAGAATTCTGTTCCATGCATGGAGGAGAAATCCTTTTGTGGATGGCAGCAGCTTGCAATCTACCCTGCTGGCTTCCCCACTGACTTTCTAGGGAATTCAATAGAGAAGATTGTTCAATGGAGATCACATGATTGTGGGGTGCTTGACAGTCGACTATAAGTGTGAATGGTTGCCAAGCACCCAGATCGCAATCATGTGACCTGAGGGAGGGAGCAGCACAATGTTTTATGAGAACTGGAAATGCTTTATGGACTGAAAAGATCCTTTCTGAGCTGTTTTAGCTTTGAATAATCGTTAAATGACCAGTTAGTTGTAAGTCAAGGACCTGTAGTGCAAGAAACTAGATGTAAAATAAAGGGAATTTTTGGATGTTAACTTTCATTGACAATTGTGCAAATGAACTAATTTGTGTCAGTTGCATGATGAGAATGATGTACAACACTTAAATCTCATCATTCCTGTGATGACGTTATGACATGTGACAACATTCTTCTTTACTCCCCACAGATATCTATGCATACATATGAATGTTCACACAACCAAAAACATGTATATAATTAAGATATGGCTTATTTCACATAGCATACGGAAATATGTATTATAAATTACCTTCAAAGGCTTTCTTCCAGTCCTTGATTTTGCTCTTTTTCTTTTCTTTTCAACTACCGGTATCTTAGGTGCCACCACTTGTCTGCTCCCTCTTATTTCCTTTTTATTCTACAGGCCCAGAAGGAGAAAAGATTGTGTCAGGATCTGAAAGGGAAGTACTGAGAAAATGCCAGAAAGCTACATGGTTGTTTTTTTTAAATGGAGCAGTGTATTTTCCACCAACATTTATTGCCCAGTAAAGATAAGTAAATAAAATTTAACAGATATTTAGCTGTATTATAAAATTTAGATATCCCTGGTTAAACTATATGCTTCAGATAAAGGTTTTGGAATAGACTTCACAGTCCCCAGATTTGAATATTACTGCAACTTGTGGGCAGATTTCAAACATGCAGCAGACATAAGGCATATTTCTGAGCTAGAAGAGTTTCTTTGTTCTGTTAAGAAAAAGTAGATTTTTTAAAAAGGCACAAAAAATGAAGATAAGCATAAACATTTCAAAGGAAGAACAAAACGACATTTAACTGGTTGTAAGAAATGTTTAGAAACTAATACTTCTCCCAAAAAAGATGTTATAAAGGGTGTTTAGACTTTTGTGCCTACATTCTCTCTTTTCTAAACAATTGCACATAAATAGCAAGTTTGCATGTAGCTAAGCAGAAAAATATCATGTTAACTACAGTATGCACCATATGGAAATTAGCCAGCATATGTTCACCTACAGATTTACTGAAATGACCAATTTCACCCAGTTATTTGCATTTAAGCATAAGGAATATGTGAAGAAAGGCAGCTAGGTTCCTGTGGCTAGAAATTCTAGGAGTTGCAACACTACTAAAGTACACATTATTCACCCTGTTGTCCCAATCCAATACTCATGTGTCTTTGAGCACACCAAAGTGGGATTTATAAACTAGACTTTATTCTGCAGAAGAAAGATCACAAAGAGATCATTCTTAAACTTTGTACATCCTCTCAATGCCCACTGCTGGATTTTATACAGCATCTACTCCAATTTACAGCATATTTCATGTCACAGGGCCACAAAATGTTTTTTGTGTCCTAACACCAACACCTCAGCTTTTCTACATACATATAATGCAATACAGGTTATCCAAAACATGCAATGGGTCATTTATCAATGGTTCAAAGTTATGATGGACTCTGTCAAAGTTAATTGCAATCTCGTTTCAAAGTTGTGGCAGCTGTAGTGCTCTCATGGTTGTTCAACCTTATGACTGACTGCAAAGCTCCTGCAGCATGTCCCCCATCTACTCCTGTTAGGTATAACATTGGTCACCTAACTAGTTTGGGTAAGATAAAAT